ACCAAATCTTGAGAAATGTTGGTTTAGTAGTGTTGCGGCTATAGTAGATGTCGTAGTGTATATGTCCATCTATTGAAGCGATCTATAGTTATGTGTATATGTTAAAATCTACCAGTAGGTAGATTAAATTTCTGAGGTGGTGATTTTGTGTATCTTTTGATTTTGGTTTTCTGGCAAGGTACGCAAGTTTTACACCGTGTTTTTACTTGGTTGGTTAAATGTGACCTCAAATAATTTTTGATATTATTTAAGGTGGTTTTGAAACCTAGATGTGTCTCTGTTGTCTCTGAGGGATAGTCACAGGTTAAGGTATTGATGTTAACTCTCGATAATGTATCTGGGACTGTGTTGGATTTGCCTTTGATATATGATATCTCGGAGGTAAATTCAACTAGAGGGTGTTTTTTTAAGCCAGATAGAACTTACGAAAGGGTTAACTGTTAAACGAACTGTCATACTGCGCTCACTTTTTGATATTTATGATCAGTATACTCTGGCAAATCATCATGAATAGATTGACGCTTGAACAACGCTACCAAATTATTACCCTTGAAAATCAGTAATCAATTCGCACAACTTATAGACGACTTCATGATTTGTATGGCGCACATAATCGTCCATCTGAGCAAGCCGTCGAACTGTGGATAGATTTTATACCACATACTCTCTAAATGATGCAATAACACCAACACGTCGAAGGAATGTGCGTACTGAAGAAAATCTAGTCGCAGTAAACGAAAGTGTGGAAGAAGATCCAAGTTTATCGATTCGTCGTCAGTCGCAGGAATTGGGGCTCTGTCCGTCCACCACGTGGAAAATTTTGCGCAAAGATCTTGGACCACACGCGTTTAAGATTGTTGATTTTGTTATTTTTTTCAATTTAAAGTTCTATCGGACTAAAAAAAAACACTCAGTATACAGGGTGAGTCGGGAGGAACGGACCAAACTTTAGGAGTGTATTGTACGCTTGAAAATAATGTAAAAAAATTCATATGTTGTTATCCGATTTTCATTTGTTTTCAATTGATTGCATAACTACAGTTAAACATTTAACGTAGATTTGACAGTTTGATTTGCATTAAGTGCTATAAAATGCCAAGTACTTATTCACATTTAGAATATACAGACATGTTATTTGTATATGGTTTTTGTAACGGGAGTGCTACAACTGCTGCAGATGAATATAAAAACGTTTTTATTAGGGTTTTCAATAAACTGCGCGAAACCGGTACACTTCCCAGCGTTAAAGTAACATCTGAACGAGCTACGCGTCAATGTTTAAATGAAGTAGAACATATTTTGGATCTAGTAGAAGAAGATGCAACGACCAGCTCACGCAGAATTGCTGTCTAATTAGACATCCCACAAAAGAGAGTAATAAACACACTCCACGAGCAATGCTTATATCCATACCATTTAGGTAAGGTACAACATCTACTGCCGGAAGATTATGTTAAACGAGTCGAATTTTGTCGGTGGATAAATAATGATTATCGTGTTGTATCGCATATTCTTTTCACGGATGAAGCAACATTTACCCGCGACGGCCTCCATAATATTCGTAATAGTCACGTATGGTCCGATGAAAATCCCCATGCAACAATCGAAAACAACTTTCAACACAAGTTTTTGGTAAATGTGTGGTGTGGTATGATCAACGGTTATTTAATTGGCCCTTTCATTTTGAACAATCGCCTCACAGGAAACCATTACCTAGAGTTTTTACAAAATGAATTAAATGATTTACTGCAGGATATTCCTCTAAACATTAGAAGGCAAATGTACTTTCAACACGATGGAGCTCCGGCGCATTTCGCTCGTCAGGTCAAGCAACATTTGGACGAAAGGTTTCCAGGGCGTTGGATTGGTCGTGGTGGTCCTATTAGTTGGCCTCCAAGATCTCATAGCACTTGATTATTGTTTGTGGGAATGGTTCAAAAGTGAGGTATACAAAGTCAGAGTTGACACTAGGGATTCACTTCTTAGGCGCATTCTAAATGTTGCAGTTAATATTAAGGAAAATCATGCAGCAATTAGGAAAGCAACAAGAGCTCTTAGTAAACGAAGCCGGAAATGTTTAGAAGTTAATGGCGATATTTTCGAACAATTACTAAAATAACGCTGATGACCAATATTTAATGTTAATGTATAAGATTTTGTTTAATTGTAGTTATGCAGTAAGAGTTATGCAATAAAAAAAATAAAATAAAAGAAAATCGGATAACAACATATAAGTTTTTTTACATTATTTTCAAGCGTACAATATACTCCTAAAGTTTGGTCCGTTCCTCCCGACTCACCCTGTATAGTTGATATATCAAGTATATCTTGGCGTTTTTTCCAGTTTTTGAAAAAAATGCGTTGATTAGAGGCTTATGGTCTGTATAAATTTTGAATTGCTTTCCTTGAAGAAAATGTCGAAAATGTTTTACTGCTAGATATACATATAGCTAGCAGTAAACATCTTTTTAGAGAAGAAAGCCACTGATGGTGTCATTCCATTATTCGTTTGGGAAAGGACAGCAACTATTGCTAAATCCACATCTGTGCATAGGGAATAAACCCGTGGAGGTTGGATAGGGTAGAATGGTACCGTTTCCTAAAGATTCTTTTGCTTTAATAAAAGAATGTTCTGCTTGTGCGGTCCAATCAATGATAGTTTTATTTTTTTGAAGTTGCAATTTATTTACTACTACATGCAATGGAATTAAAATTTCGTATACAGGCTGGCACGTAGGAAATCTAATGAAGAAACGTCGAAAATACATTTATTGGGTTATATATTTATATTATGGTCGTTTAATTTTTTGAATAATATTTTTAAATGTTCAATATGATCATATTCTGTTTTACTGACCACTAGTATATCATCTATATGAATAGAATCTATAAAGAAAATGAAAACCTGAAAGAACTTCGTTATTGAACCGTTGAAATGTTAGCGGTGTTTTTCAATCCAAAAGGCATTGGTTAGAATTCGAATAAACCGAATGGTGTTGTTATTGCAGTTTTGTAAACATTGTCTGGTACTACGGGAATTTGGTGATAAGCCCGAACTAAATCTATTTTTGAAAAAAAGTGCAACCTATTAAATGTAGATTAAAATCTTGAATATAGTGTAGCGGATAAAAGTTCGGTATCGTGATGAGATTTAGTTGCCAGTCATCTCCGCAAGGTCTCCAATTACCGGAATCTTTTTTGGGGACCATGTGGAGTGGGGAAACTACCGGTGATGATGATGGACGGTAAATTCCTAATGCTACCATTGTCTAGTCTTCTAGGACGATTGAATAGAAGATGGAAATTAGTAACTATTTTATGAGTGGTCGAATGGTTGACGGGGGTAAAAAAATCTGGGGAAGAGATTAATTTTGGATTTTGTAGGCATGATACTACAAATACCTATTGTGCCATAAATCTATTGTTGCCGGATAACTTATAAAACCAACTTAAACGTCAAAATCAATCAAAACACAGCGACTACCCCTACGGATAATGTGACTTTTGCGGCGAATCACTGAATTTATAATATAACTCTTGTGGGAACAAGTGCCTTTTGCTACAACTTTACATTATATTCTCGTGGAATACAAGTTTCTTTATTGCACAGAATCCATAACTGACATTTGATCAAAAGTAAAGAATATGAGTTTTGCAACTACACACCTCAAATGTTCTCGAAACTCGAGGGTCTACTATACTTCTTAGTTAGTAAAAATAAGTTTTTTCAATTTTACTTTAATCAAAATTAAATTTGATCTTCTGATTGCTCATGGTTCTAGACGCGTTGTTACAAAGATGTGTCAGACGGAAGTCATTTCTTTTTGATTTTCTAAGAACATTTTAAGACATGTTAAGAAAAACATTTTTATTCTTAACCCATTTAATCCCACTGGTGTGATAACGCACCAGCGTTTTTAAAATTATTTTACAGCCATATATTTCCAGATTTGAAGGTGCTAGCTGTTTGTACGATAACACTATAAGGTTGTTAGGCTATACATATCAAAATATTTCATAATTCTTGCTATTTAAACCACATTTGCATCAATTTTTTGTAATGAAAATTTGTTCAAAATACACAATGGAAATAAAACTATTTTTAGTGCATAAAATTCTTTAAAATGTTGACATTTGCAAGTTTTTAGTGCATATTTTCCTGATATATATCTTGGAACATTAATGGTGCAAAAACACACCATTGGGATGTATGATGAGATATAAGGATTACATCATCTTTCGTATTATCAGAAACCAGTTTAGACGGATTTATTCGATGAATTCCCTAGTAATAGTCGTTTATGGACATAGTGAGTCAATACATTTGTAGTAAGTTTAGCGTTCATTTACATGAAGAGTGCTTTGCGAAGTATCACAATAAATGATTATACTGTTCATCCCATTGGTGCGTTTTTGCACCAATTTTAGTATAAATAGTTTTTAGATTAAACTTCATACTAAAGTTGGTACTTGTTAGTATCATGTTGTATTACTATCATTAAAAAACTTTCAGGAGTAGGATCTTACTCCAAGATCCTACTCTTGAAATTTATTGGTACTGCTAACGGGATCACATAACACAGATCTCCTGATTACTATTATTATTTATTTATGACTAACTTATTACTTACAATTAGTTAGTAAATGATAATTAAAATATTTTATTTTATTTTAAATTTATTGGATTTTTCGTACTGCTAACGGGATCACATAACACAGATCTCCTGATTACTATTATTATTTATTTATGACTAACTTATTACTTACAATTAGTTAGTAAATGATTTGTTGTTCATTTATTTTTCCAGTGGTGCATTTTTGCACCATCTCATATTTCATAGAACATTCTTTTTTTCAAACGCCTGTATATATTTTATACTTTTCATTCAATCTTATCTCAAGGAAAATTATAAAAAAACCGATTTTTTTAAATATAAAGCAACGTAGGACTAAATAGGTTAACTACACCTAAAGTTAAAATTTTATTTTTCTATTTATAGGAGACCTACAACTGGACAAATAGATGTTTTATCAATTGAAGGACACGCTTTAGAAGCTAGGAAAGCAAAACTTTTAGAAGCAATCAATAATTTAGAAGAAGACAACGAAAAAATTCTTTGTGTTATAAATGAAAAGAAACAATTATTAGAAAAATGTGATGACGATTTAAAATATTTACGCCAACACTAACATTTAATTATAATAATTTTTGTATTTATTTTTACAACTTATAACGTTAATAGAAATCCTTAACCAAAACATCCATTCTTTCTTTACAATTTTTAATTCTTAATATTAATTCCTTTTCCATGTTATCATCAAAAAGAGAATTATTAGTATCCACATCGCTATTTAAAGACGATTTTTCATTTAATTTTATTAACAATTCCTCAAATTGTTTTATTCTTCTGTTAGTTATTTTCACAATGTTTTCGAACTTTTTAACGTGTTTAAAATCTTCCAGTTCTTGTATTTTAACATCCTAAAATTTTTAAACACATTTGAAATAAATTTGAGAAAACCCAAAAGATTTATTTATTAATTATATTAGTATTCATACAGTTAATCGTTTTTGGAGTAACTCAATTTCTTCGAAAGTTAGCTTTGTTTTATTCTCGAAATCTTCACGATCTCTTTTGTAGGAATCAATAATTTCCTTTACTTTTTTTAAATTTCGATCAGCTAAATAAAACAATTTATTAAAAGATAAAAGATAGATATAAATGATAGTTACATTTGCGATACTTCTCATTTAAATCTTCCAATTCCTTAAAAGCTTTTTTCAGTTGAATATCTTCCTCCATCTCAAAGAATTCTTCATTCAAATTCTAAATGCGATTTTTGACACAAAAACAAATACTTCTATGTATCAATAGATGTCGCTTAGTAACTAAAAACGGCTTGCTCTGTTAATGCGCATGCGTTATGAGTCGAAGATTACAAGAGATTCGTCGAAGCTACCGCCATTGTGGTTCGTTGACGGTTAATTCGCTTGTTTTTATCGGTTTTTAAAGTGCTTTCAACACAGATAAAGGTGAGTTATTAAATTCTATTGATAGTTTATGTTAATATCGTGTTGATTCGTAAAAATTCTCGTTCAAATATTGTTAAATTGTGTTAAAAGATCTTAAGACGAACCGGCTTTATCGTTCACCCTTGTTTTATCACGGTTGGCCATGACCGTTTTCCCCTATGAAGGTAGCTACTGATTATTAAAAAAACCTTGACTGTTTTCGACGCGTTCCTTTTGATATATCAAACGGAAATGGTAAAGATAACAAAAATAGAATTGTTATCGTAGAAAGTTTGAGAAAACATTGTAATTTTCTTTAATCGGATTTGGCGGGAATTGAAGTTGTACATACAGTAAATGTAATGAAAAAGAGAGGTTAAAATCGTTGTGTAGAGGGCGTTGTATGTGCCGTTTCGGTACAATTACCCGTTGGCCGTTGTTTAAACAGGATGTTTCTGAGTAAATATTGGTCCGTTTCGTGCACTTTTCGTCTGGGGACGGTTGTTTTGGGATTTATTTCGAAATTATTCTCGCGTTCTCTTTAAAACGTTATTGAGAAAGGCAAATGGTATTAAATTTGTTTGTGGCGTCGCGTCGTCTTCTCTCAGACGGGCAATGCACGCGAGGTTATTCACAATTGGCCAATTAGAGGTGGTGGTCGCTCTGTTTGTGCACGAATTATACCACCCCTTGAGAGTATGAAGAGTTCAATCGGCTGCTATTTGACCTTTTTTTTATTATTTATTGTTTCAACTCAATGTACATAGTTTGTTATTGACATTTCTTTGTGTATTTCGTATGGGGCTTTTCAATGGATTTATTTTGTATTGAATTATAATTGAAATTGCTTTGAGTCTTTGTTATCAAACAAATTTGCTGGTATGCAACCAATATTGCATGTTTGGTAGTGAACAACGAACATGGAAATTCATTTTTTTGTTATCGCCATCTATTGATTTATATTATAATTTAAACACGATCTCAATCATAATAAATTTTTTGTAATTCGCGACGGTAATGAAAGCTATACATACTCAAACGGGTGCTATAATGAGACTTCTTACAGCATCCGATGCTGTAATGAGATTTTAGTAACATTTTATGGAACCAGTTCAAGTTGGTGACATTGGGTCATTAATTTTTTTAGTTGTCAATGTGACAATTAATAAATTAATTTTTAAATTTAGCGTACTGTTGTTCGTACTTTTCGTGGCACTTTTCTGGGAGTAGTATTTTGAAACATTTTTTTTAGGTGAATACATTTTGTGTATTGACAACTTCTATTTGTCAATTCAAATCTCTCTATTTTCAAGTGTTACGGTGTTACCAACTGCTACATACCTATTTCCTTACATTGTCAAAATTTATTTTATCTTTGTTAAAAAAAAAGGATAAAAACGCGAATTACAAAAAATAGCATAAAAAACACGTTTCATAAGACTTAAAGCACTCATTCATTAAAAAAACTCGGAGCTTCCCCACTCGTTTTTCAACTTGAATTCGTGCGTTTCAAGCGTGTCTTACGAAACTTGTTTTTTAATATACTATTTTGTAATTCGCGATGGCAATGAAAGCTATTACAGTACTCAAACGGGTGCTGTAATGAGACTTCTTACAGCATCTGATGCTGTAATGAGATTTTACTAACATTTTATGGAACCAGTTCAAGTTGGTGACGTTGGGTTATTAATTTTTCTAGTTGTGAATGTGACAATTTTTGTCTGTGGATGTTTAAACAAGTTCTTACCATCGAATACAAGGTCCACAATGATGAGGACATTGAACTCTGAGCAATTTCTCTTATTTTGGGAGGTGTACAGGGTGGTTCAAATTCGATGTCCGAATAGGCTAACTCGGAAACTATAAGAGTTAGAAAAAAAGTAGCTTACATGTCATGATCTCGTTTTNTTTGTCTATGGATGTTTAAACACGTTCTTAGCATCGAATACAAGGTCCACAATGATGAGGACATTGACTCTGAGCAATTTCTCTTATTTTGGGAGGTGTACATCAAACATTTTTTCAGGAATCTATATATTGTGTTTTGACAACTTCTATTTGTCAATTCAAATCTCTCTATTTTCAAGTGTTACGGTGTTACCAACTGCTACATACCTATTTCCTTTCATTGTCAAAATTTATTTTATTTTTGTTAAAAAAAAGGATAAAAACGCGAATTACAAAAAATAGCATAAAAAACACGTTTCATTAGACTTAAAGCACTCATTCATTAAAAAAACTCGGAGCTTCGCCACTCGTTTTTCAACTTGAATTCGTGCATTTCAAGCGTGTCTTACGAAACTTGTTTTTTAATATACTATTTTGCAATTCGCGATGGCAATGAAAGCTATTACAGTACTCAAACGGGTGCTGTAATGAGACTCCTTACAGCATCTGATGCGTAACATTTTAGTAACATTTTATGAACCAGTTTAAGTTGGTGACATTGGGTCATTAATTTTTCTAGTTGTCAATGTGACAATGTTTGTCTATGGATGTTTAAACACGTTCTTAGCATCGAATACAAGGTCCACAATGATGAGGACATTGAACTCCAAGCAATTTCTCTTATTTTGGGAAATGTCAGTGATGGGTGCTGGGTAAATACCCGGCGGGTAGGTATTTATAAAATGCGTATTTATCCCAAACAGTCCATATAAAAGTGATACAAGTAAAAATATAACAGATTTGGACAAAAATGTAGAGGAACGTGATGAAATGGGCATTGAAGACACTGCTCATTCTTCATTCTTGCGACGATGATCCACCTGAGCTTTGCCACAATGTTGACCGCATCATTTACGCCAGTTCTTCTTCGTAGGTCTTTATTTCGTATGCGGTCCCTCAAGGTTACACCCAGCATCGATCCCTCCATGTTTCTTTGCGTTACTTTGAGCCTCCTGGTAATGGCCACCGTTAATGTTAAAGTTTCGGAACCATATGTCATAACCAAAGGAAGCATGCATTGATTGAAAGCCTTTCTTTTCAAATATACATGAATATCGCTCATGAAGATGTCTCTAAGTTTCCTGATGAACCTCATGGCCAAGATATATGGCGATGCGAACCAACTGAGATGAGTACTTAAACAACTTTAAGAAGTTGTTTTTTAAGCATTAAAGAATCGTTAAATATTTTCGAAGAGTATTACGTAAACGAGAATGGTCGGTAGTGAAAATATATGTACACTTTAAAGCTAATAACACCAGGAATGTGTATAAATTTGTTAGACAGTTAAGACAAAGGCACAAATCGCACACAGCTCTATGCTGAGATGGAACAAAATAATATGTGATACTGAAATGAATGACATTTGGAAAAATTATTTCCAAAACCTATTAAGCATAGAAACTGATTTAGAAATAGACAGTAGTCCGTCATATCAAAGGAAGGATAGTGTCATGGAACCTATATCAATCAGTCAGGTTCAAAACGCAATCACTGCGTCAAAACATGGAAAGGCATGACATACCATCGAAAGTATCCAAAATAGAAGTATTCATTATCACCAATATTGATGTTAGAGCTTGGAACAAGATTTGTCCTAAATTTTGTTGATATTTTGCCCGACTCTTGCACACGCCTCCTGTATACGTTCAGCATCAGTTTCATCTCTCCAAGGCTATCCGAAATAAGGACTATATCGTCCGCGTAGCGCAAATTACTTAGGTATTGCCATCAATGTTATACCTTTTTGGATCCAATCCAGTTGTTTAAATGCACTCTCCAGAACTGATGAACAACTTGGGTTTAACATTATATCGCCTAGTCTTACCCCACGCCCAATGTGTATTCGGTCAGTACTTTCATGCAATTTGACCGTCATTGTAGCATTCTTGTAAATGTTATAAATAAGTTTGGTGTATCGATAATAGACTCTGCTTTCTTGAAGTACTTGCAAAACTGCCATCAGCTCAATTTAAATCAAATTTTATAAATACCTCTAAATACCCATCTTGGGTAAATACCCCCGGGTACATATCCAAGGAATTTTCCCTTGAAAATAAAGGGAAGTGTACATGAAATATTTTTTTCAGGTGAATACATTTTGTGTCTTGACATGTGTTTTGTGATTTTCAAGTGTTACGATGTTACCAACTGCTACATAAAGATTTCCCTACATTGTCAAAATTTATTCTATTTTTGTAAAAAAAAAGCGTAAAAACACGTTTCATAAGACTTAAAGTACTCATTCATTAAAAAATTCGTGGCTTCGCCACTCGTTTTTAAACTTGAATTCATGCATTTCAAGCGTGTCTTACGAAACTTGTTTTTTAATATACTATTGTATCACCCCTCTTGATAAGATGTTAGGTAAAAAAGGGATGATATTGGGTTTCTTTCCTTCTTAAAAATTTACCTGTTTTAGATTTGTTAGTGTTTAAAAGTGAAGCGGAAAAAGTTTTAATGTTTCATTTGAAAATGTTACTTTATATACAGTATGTCCGTAAAGTAGGGGATATAGGCGATAAAATCATTATAAACGGTTTATGGAAAAATCTTATACAACATTTATTGATTTTTTTTTTAAATATCTCTCAATTTAGTTTTCGTATGTATCTTTTATTCTTTAACCTTAGTTTTGATCTTTTCTCGTATATACGAACGCATTATTCTGGGTGATTTATGAGAAAGAAAAAATAAATTGTTTTTGAAGTCTTTCTTGACGTAACGTAAACATATCACTTGATGGTTGGTCTAATGTATGTACGTAATGACCTTACACTGTGTGCCACAATAACTATTAAAGATGGAAACGAATTCTTATATGAAACAATAGATCTGGCCTGGCAACCCCCATACAAGCGATTACTTTACAAAAATAATTTATGAAATAATTTTATCTTGTAAACCGAAATATAATT